GTCGAACGACTGTCTATGCATATGAAAGCTCGACTCGGTGTTGCACACGTTCTCTTCCCATACCACCATGGAAGGGCAGGCAGGCCTTACACGTCTAGTGCCCTTTTGGCACCACATGGCTACTTACGGTCATGGGTGCAGTCTGAGAGAGATTCGTCATCGCGTTGGCAAAATCCAGACGAGCAGGAGGACCACTTGTCATCTGATACCTACGCCTCAGGCCCAAGGCATCCAAACACCGCATTTACCCGTTGTATCGAATCAGAAAACCTCATACCGGCCAAATATCACTCTCCATAGATGAGGATGGATCGCGGAAGATACAGGTCGTTTTCTAGACTGCCGATCCAGATTGCGTCACAACTGCATATCCGATAGAGTTCTACTCTGGGTCGATCCAATGCAAGTACGCGGTTACACAGTGTTTACAAAGACTAAAGCAGGTGTTGAAGTGACTGCGTCTCGAACACGATGCAAAGCATGTTGCATCCAGAGGCGGATGAACCGGAACGAGTCAGCGTCTTGGGCTTCATCGGGGTCATTAGCAAGGACCTCATGGCCGTGCACGATGATCTCCTCATGTTTAGAATGCTCGAAGCGAAACTTTATCACAGCATCATCGAATCACGACAGGTTTCAAGCGTTCGAGGTCCAAGATACACGTAACGTCTATTCCACGCTGCTGCGATTTCTTCACAGCTGACGAATGAGATGAGTACCATTGTCTCCCGACGAGCGGTAGACAAGATCCGGTTCAGCTACACAAATCTACGGGCTAACCGGTGGCTTAGCTTCCGCTTTGGCCTGTCCGGCTTGTCGGGTCTCATACCTCACGGTGATCATAGCTGCATGTTAGCGCAGCAACACCACTGTTGATACGATGGACACGAGTGGTACCCAATCGGCACAGGCACATGGCATGTTACCATGCCGGTAGCCTAGCGAGTATGATCAGCGCATCACACCGCCCAGTAACAGTTGAACCGACACATCGGACACATTCTACGCCACAAAAAGCTTCCATGACTGAGCCCGTAGCGTCCGTGTGGTCAAGCATGCACTCGATTGCATTGGTCGCAACTCATGTCACCGGAGATGGCGACAGCCCGCTTTCGTCCAGTACCGTCCCCATCACCTGTCAATGCAACTCGCAGAACCTGCAAGCATCAACTAGTTGATGTCTTTCGATCATGTTCAACGACCAGCAAGAATGTCAATCTCAACGTCATAGGAGCACATACCGGGAGCGCCCTATCACAGAAGCCGACATGCAAGGACGTTGAGCTAACCGCAAACCAGTGAGCGTGGGAGCCCTGACTACTAGACGTTCGGTACCAGTCTATGGCTTCAGCTTCTGAATCCACTTTCAAACCCCCACCGATTGTCGAGTGCGTCTCTAGATCTCATTGTCTCGGCATCGGCAAGAAAATCTACGTCCCAAATCGGGTTTGCGCGGACTGTCTTCAACGACACGATCCACAACAATTGCGAGTTTGGGCTGACGCCAACACTATTGCCTCGCAACTCATCAACGAAGAAACTGCGCGCAAGCACATTCTGAAACGCAACATCGAAGCTCGAGGTCGCTATCTCTGCGCTTTTGAGGATCCGGATTTTCAGCACTGCAGGTGGCGACTACATGACCTGAACCTCCGCGGCACTCGCCTGGACTGCCCTTCTGTCCGCAAGAAAGGTACTGCGTGTACCAGGTGTTGGAGAAGGCGTTTGCGGAAGATCAGAATCGCCCAGTTCTTCACGCCGACGGGCCTATGCCATGAAGAAGCAGACAAACTGGTGACAAGGTCGGCAGGTTCGGAGGAGGGCAGTGAGGAGTCGGATGATGACGTGGAAGGCTACAACACAATAACGAGTTGAAGCCATACCAGGACCTGACCTGGTAAGTCGCTCTGCTAGGTTGTAGGCCACGCTAACAGATAAGGTGTACCACTGTACGATCTGCTTGTCATGCTAGCACCGCCGCCGAAGCCACACTGTGCATTCGGTACTGCTTGTGGCTCACGTCCAGGAGGACAAGAACAAGGAACAAATATATGTTCATGGTGCAAGAACATGAGCTTCGACGCACTGTACAAGCAGGCCGAAGCGCATCCAGACAAGCCGTTGCTGAGGTACCGCATCGATGTCTACAGGCACCAGCTTGAGCGCGACAGCTCCGAACGCATCAGAAAAGGCTGGACGTATCTGTGCGCCTGCAAAGATCCAGAATTCCGCTTCTCAGCATGGCGCAACGACTTCAACCCCCAAGACTCCCGCCTCTGCGGCACAGTTCGGCATCGCGGACAGCTGTGTGCACGATGCTACCGCAAAGCACGAGAGCAAGCCTGCCCTTGGCTTTCGGAATTCGATGGCGACCGAGTGGGGTTTCCGTGTGTCTTCGAGGACCCACGGCTAAGACGGCCCGTCGACAGCAACTGGAAGATTGGACCGCGGAATCAGCAGGGTGAGGCGGACCCAAGCTGGGAAAAGGATCCAAGGAGAGATGGACGCTGCGACAGGACGAGGTTTAGAAATCAGCTTTGCCAGAAGTGTTTCAATCGTATGTGCGAGATTCGAGGGTTTGGCCGGTACTTCGATACGGAGTGGGGCATACTGCGCCGAAACTATGGGGTGTGATCGCAGCGCTATCGACGAACCGATCTGAGTCAATCATCTCGTCGAGTACCCTCAATCCGTTTTCCGTACACCTCAGATGAGGTTCGATCACAGCCCTGGGTCGGCACACGAGCTTATCACTGGCGAACGACAGTGAGTTCTCCGAACATGCGACAGTACCACACCTACGGCTACTGCTTCTGGTGCTTACCTTTGGCACGGAATTAGAGGTAGGCCGCCCTTACAGCTATATCGTATTCACAGCGCGGTTGATAAGACGACACGACTGGGGCTTAAATCACATTCCTCCGCATCGGAAAGCCAAACATCAACACCAACACACAAGAAACGGCACATTGCAAGGGAGCCGCAAGCCATTTCACTTACTGGATGCTACAATCGCGTCGCAAAACAAGCACATCGAGACAAAGAAGTTCAAGTCTCCGCGGGATATACCAACGCGAAAATGGACCTAAAAGGCACGTTATCTCCGCTGGTAGCAGCGCTCAGAAGCAGGCGCACAGGAGTAAAGTAGCGGCTGAGCCGGGCTTTGCAGTAGCATGCCTCACAACTCTTCTTAACGGCCTTTTCTCAATGTTTCAGTAACCACCATTGTCGCAAGAGGGAACTAGCAACTGATCGACTATCGCTGTTCATACTTCTGGTCTGGAGGCTTTCAGGCCAACTCTATTGCTAATCGATATGAACAAAGTGCGTCGGGATGCAGGAAAAGGACGCCTGTATGGTTCTGGCTGGCTGTATATACCGTGACAGTGATGGTTTTGTGCTGTCTTTTCTTTGAGAGTGTATTGGTATAGGAATTGGTCGGATTGCTGGGAGTCGCTCGCGTATGGATTCATGGATTCAACTCGAACCGCGGTACCCGTGGACCCTCTACGAAGCTACCACCTTTGCTAGGAAAAATACTACCTATTTCCCCACATATCATTTTATCTCTTCTTCCTAATGAGATTCGTTTGCAGGTGTTCGCCGACACACCATCGCACAGACTATGCCCACAACCTTGACTCCCGCAGAAAAGTCCTGCATCTTTACTCTCTCCGCTCTATTCCTAGATATCAACCTTGCTGATGGAACACTCGATGACATCGCGCGGGCGTTAACAAGACTTCCTCTCGAGATTGCCGAAATTGAGATGGTGTTTTGGGACGACGTGTTCCCGACGCTGATTTGGAACCTACTCAGATTTCACGGACAACAGCATGCATTTGACGGAGACGTAGTCTGTGGGAGAATCGAAGTCGCACGATCTGGGCCTCCGAAATCGTCTATTAGCACATGTGCAAAGAAGCTCCTCTTTGGATGGTTGGTGTGGCGCGACTGGATGCGTGTCAAGCGGAGGTTGGTCCAGACTCAAAAGCTGTCTCGATGCTGACTGACCTCTTGAACAGGTATCTTGCGGAGAAGAGAAAGCAGCGTAGGCGTGAATTGGAGAGGCAGTTCGACGCGACAAAGATTGGTAGACTCATCAGGCGAGTTGACTTTCTCCGAACGGTCTCCTCAAGCGGTCCCGATTGGACCACATGCTCATCGGGTCTCATGAGCTGTCGCTCTTCCGGAGTTGGGTTTTCAGTTATCATGTTGTGTTCGGCTGTCCTTAGAGCGGGTGGGTGGGCTGTCTGGTGGGCTGCAACTGGACCTTTGGTGACGGCTTGTCGACTACCTAGAAGTCCGAACTTCCTGAGTTGACCATGTTTAAGTTTGCGCTGCCGTATGTCGAGGCGGTAGTAACCATCGCATTTGCCAGCTAGTGTATGGAGACCTAGTTGTGCGCGATAGACTAGGAGGAGGTGTGGTAATGGAGCAAGATGGTCTTGCGTAGGGGTCATAGTGTTGGAGTCGGTGCGTGCCATCAGTGACTCCCGCAACTATGGTGTGTGATCGTGGAGGTACTATCGACGACGCAACCTCAGCAGATCACTTCATCGGGTACCATCATCACGTTTCTTGCACACCTTCGACGCAGACGTCGCCACGCTTTCGGTAGATGGTGATCTTTGTCAACAGTCAGCTCTATGTGTTGATTCATACCCACGAGACACTCACTCCGGCCTGGCCTCTTCTCGACAACCTGAACTTTTACTCATCGTACAGCAGCCACAGTCAATGTTCCGATCAAGTCATCGATGACTGAGCCGCAAGTACAAAAGCTGGCGGAGTAGACAGCCGACAAAAGTTACACCACATACCACAAATCCATCTCCCTCACGTCCTTGGTCCCGAAAGCAGCGCGAGTCCTCGAAGACGGAAGACTTCTCACGCCCGTTGCACAAGCATCTATCGTATGATGTCGACAAGTACAAAGCCAAAATGCTCGATCGGCGGCGATGACTTCGGAATCTGCGTACAAAGGAATTCAGAGCAAGATGGCGACGAGCTATGTTCCTACTGCAAAGACACACATCCGATAATCATGTATTGGAACCTCGAACAGATCGCCTTGCACCCTCCAGAGTTGATATCAAAGTCGATGTTGGAGTCGATAAATGAGGAGTCGCGGGAGAAAATATATCTCAATATGTACAAAGACCAGCTCGAACGAGTGCCACCCGGTAAACATCTTTGTGTCTTCCGGCAGAAACGCTTCAGGGCCGACAAGAAAGGCAACGAATGGGTGGATTCTATTAAGGATCTCAGGAGTTACAGGAACGAAGACAGGTCGCATGAGAACAATGACCTGGTGCTTGTTGACTACGTCATATGTGATCCCGTGGACGGCGAAGCGGAACTCTGCGCCAAATGCTTGTCTGATTTGCAAGGCCAAAATCCCGTTAAAGAGATGTTTTCGGAAGATGGCAAACACTTGCTTCCAAAGTTCATTGGCGAAGGCGAGAAGGAGCCTGCGTTGGAGGATAAAGGTGCTGCCACGGAGGAGGCGACACTGAGGACAGAGGAAGGCGGATCCAAGAATAAGTTGGGTGAGCGGTGACTTGTGCCTGTGTCATCCTCATCCACATGTTCCGTGATCATAGATGTAGCATGACAATGAACCCAGCCAATGTCTTTAGGATGTGCTCTACAGTGAAGAACCAGGAACCGCAGTCTTCGTTTCGAATTATGGTTTGTCGATGTCTTGTACGTACAACGATGATGGCCCTGTGCGAAAGAGTGATGAGGTATGTAAGGAAGGGAAGGAAGTGGTGTTTGGTAAGGGTCACCTCCAGAAAAGATCATGTTCACGGCGACCCTTTACGTCTGTGCGAGGCGCAATGCCACCGCGATGTATGACTGTACTTCCAAGTAGTCATAAGTCCCAGTCATACTAGACATCATGTTTGTAGTGACAAAACTCGCTCCGGTTCTGCTTTCGATCAACACCAGAACTTTTACCTTCGGGAGATATCCCTCTCTCTCTCTCCCCTAAGGGCCTCTATAACAAAGCCTCTCAAACTTTCTTCTATTCGCCCCCGACAAGTCAACGCCCGGATCGTTAGCGAAGCTGCAGCCATCACGAAGCCTAGTCCAGACCACCCACACTCACGAAACATGGCAAACAACCCATCGGAATCGTGCCCGTTGTATGGAAAAAGAATTGGATGTCGCGCAGATACCTCTGGTGAAGGGCTGTGCGGATCTTGTCTCTGGACCCATTCTGCTCTCATACGTCCGTGGAGAGACATACACACAGAGGCCGACGAGTTTTTCAAGTGGACCGACGCAGACAACGAGAAGCCCCGCACGTGCGTGATCCGTCGGAAGCGTTACACGGATGACAGATATGGCGAGATGGTGGCAGACGTGGTCGAAGCCTGGAAGAGAATGAAAGGCTCAGAGGTCCCTGGTGTATTCCGGTGCACAAAGCCCGCGGCAGAGGATGACATCGTCTGTGATGACTGTTGGAACTTCATGAAGGCATGCGGGCGCCAGGGTTGGTTTAATGAGGATCGCGCGGTCAATGAGAACAAAGTTCGGAAAAGTTGCGGATGCCACAAATGACTGAAGCGGCGAGTGTCAAAAACCGAGCTGCACACTGTATCTACAGATGTAGCGAATGTACAAGGTTTGATCAACTCTAAACGGGGTCCTGTAGTCTAATGTACAAAAGAGTCTCGCAATGACGTGTATGAGTTGAAAAAAGTGTGGAGTTTGGTAAGACTTGCTTCTAGAAGGAATGATGTTCGCGCGCCTTCCCCCATTGAGCCGCTAATGCCGGAGAGGAGGGGCATTACGCCGCCTTCGGCCCTCAATAAATTGCGAACACAAGACTCATACCAGACCCCGATATCTCCGCGTACCCTTACGACTGCCCATACTGTGACTCACAGTTGTTTCATCTATAAGGAAGTCAGCTTCTGGCTTTGTGCTTTTGTCACACACTCCAACTTTTCGACTCGGTATTCAGCAACATGGACGGCATTAAGAAGACGTTTGCGCAATGCAAGAAGGAGGGCAGGGTATGATCTGGCATAAGCAGATGAGACGTCCAGGCTGACATGTGTGTAGTCTGCCCTCGTCACCTACGTGACTGCAGGTTTCCCCACGGCAGAGGAGACGCCAGACATCATGATGGCCATGGAGGCCGGAGGTGCTGGTACGTGGGACGAGCAATTGCTACGCCGAACGAAACGACGACAGCTAATTGACACGCTCAGACATTATTGAACTCGGCATGCCCTTCACCGATCCCATTGCCGACGGCCCAGCAATTCAGACCGCCAACACTGTACGTTGACTTACTCGCCACCATCCCTCCGAAACTCTTCCTGACACCATGTGTCTATAGCAAGCCCTCAAGAACGGCGTCACAATTGGCCATGTCCTCCAGATGATCCGCGACGCGAGGAAGCGGGGTCTGAAGGCACCAGTCCTCCTCATGGGATACTACAACCCGCTGCTCAGCTACGGCGAGGAGAAGATGCTGCAGGATGCGAAGGAGGCCGGAGCCAACGGCTTCATCATGGTCGACCTGCCACCGGAGGAGGCTCTGCGCTTCAGGAACTTCTGCCGTAGCTACGGGTAAGCACACCATTCAGACGAGCTTGGGACGAATGCTAACAAGGCAGTCTTTCCTACGTTCCCCTCATCGCACCCGCTACCTCGGAGCACCGCATGCGCGTCCTATGCAAAATCGCCGATTCCTTCATCTACGTCGTATCGCGTATGGGCGTCACCGGCGCCAGCGGAACAATGAACGCTGCCCTTCCCCAACTCCTCGAGCGCGTCCACAAATACTCTGGCAATGTTCCGGCGGCTGTCGGTTTCGGTGTCAGCACACGCGACCACTACTTGAGCGTAGGCAAGATCGCTGAGGGTGTCGTTATCGGTTCCCAGATCATCAACACATTGATCAAGGCTCCAGCAGGAGAGGGCGCAAAGGCAGTTGAGAAGTACTGCGACGAGATCTGCGGCAAGAGCACCCGCGAGACAACTCGCGAGGTTGGCATTGTTGAGACATTGAACGAGGCCAAGGAGCCCACCGGCGTCCACGTCGACAAGGTCATCACAGATGCCGACACACCAGACGGCCCCGGTCTCGCCGACCAACTGGAGATGCTCAACACTGACGAGACGGACGGCGCGAATGGAACCAACCAGCAGAACGGATTTGACGAGAAGCACAAGTTCCCCGCACGATTCGGCGAGTTCGGCGGGCAATATGTGCCTGAATCTCTCATGGATTGTCTTTCTGAGCTCGAGGAAGGTTTCAACACAGCGATCGAAGACCCCAAGTTCTGGGAAGAATACCGATCCTACTACGACTGGATGGGCAGACCAGGACATTTGCATCTTGCCGAGCGCCTTACTGAGCACGCTGGAGGTGCTAACATCTGGTTGAAGAGAGAGGATTTGAACCATACCGGAAGTCACAAGATCAACAACGCTCTCGGACAGGTACTCATCGCCAGGAGACTGGGAAAGACTGAGATTATTGCCGAGACTGGAGCTGGCCAGCACGGTGTTGCGACAGCCACCGTCTGCGCCAAGTTCAACATGAAGTGCACCATCTACATGGGTGCCGAGGATGTCAGGCGTCAGGCCCTGAACGTCTTCCGCATCAAGTTGCTTGGTGCGCAGGTCGTTGCTGTCGAGGCTGGTGCGCAGACCCTCCGTGATGCCGTCAACGAGGCCATGCGCGCTTGGGTCGTCCACCTCGACACAACCCACTACATCATCGGATCCGCCATCGGTCCTCACCCCTTCCCCACGATTGTCCGTACTTTCCAGTCGATCATCGGAAACGAGACCAAGGAGCAGATGCAGGCCAAGCGTGGCAAGCTTCCCGATGCTGTAGTCGCCTGCGTTGGTGGTGGCAGCAATGCCGCGGGCATGTTCTACCCCTTCTCCAAGGACATGTCTGTTAAGCTTCTCGGCATTGAGGCTGGTGGTGACGGTATCGACACAGACCGCCACAGTGCAACACTCTCCGCTGGAACCAAGGGCGTGCTTCACGGCGTGCGTACCTACGTTATCCAGAACCAGCACGGACAGATCAGCGAGACTCACTCGGTCTCTGCTGGTCTCGACTACCCCGGTGTTGGCCCAGAGCTTTCCAGCTGGAAGGACAGCGACCGCGCCAAGTTCATTGCCTGCACCGATGCCGAGGCGTTCATCGGCTTCCGTCTGATGTCCCAGCTTGAGGGTATCATCCCCGCGCTGGAGACTTCCCACGCCGTCTTCGGCGCCATTGAATTGGCCAAGACGATGAACAAGGACCAGGACATTGTCATCTGTGTGTCTGGACGTGGTGACAAGGACGTGCAGAGTGTTGCGGAGGAGCTGCCCAAGCTAGGACCCAAGATTGGCTGGGACCTGAGGTGTAAGTCTGACAGTATCCAAGATGACTGAACATTGCTAACATTCTACAGTTTAAACGATGATGTTATTCACGCAAATGATTGTATATAGCCCAAAAGTGAATAAAAGTTCAAGCAATGTTCGCTACACGCATTTTCAACATGATTCTCCAACTGTCTTTGTCAAAGTGAGGCTCAACAGACGATCTACCAGACATCACACGTTTTGAAGCGTGATTGGCGCAGAGGATCGCGGGCGAGCTATGCGCAACGATGATGCAGGTCGAGTGGTTTCGGCATGGGTGCGATGCAGGCAATGACTAGCCGCGGCCAGAAGCGGGCCATCGCGAGGACATGCAAAGGTTCCACTGAAGTCGACTGAAGACGAGACGGAAGCTGCTTCCCATGGACGTGGGGTTTAGGCGCGTGACGGTCCACGAAGACGCTACCTGTCGCGTATCCCGAGACAGTGTATGGGCGTGGGAGGTGTGGGTGCGGGAGCGCGGCGGAGGGCCAATGGCCGGCCCATGTGTTCCGGCGCGGCCCTGGTGTGCGGTGACGAAAGCGCATCCACATCTTCAGGCCAGCGCCGAGAAAGGTTCCGCGCCAATCCCACACATCTCAATGCCGCATTTCCACGTGCTGCACGCCACCTGACCGCCTGCGACTACGCCCTCTAGCCTGCCTGTCGTAGCGTCTTCTCGCTGAAGACTGCCTAAAACTGCTCCTCCACAACCCGCAAGCCTCCACCCTGGACGCCTTGAGCTCTTACCGTGACGCTGCGCCCATCCAAGCCTTTGAGCTTCAACCACTCGACCCTACCCCAAAAGAGACACGGCGGGAGACCAAGAGGGAACAAAAGCGACGGGAGAAGCTCGAGCAGCTTCGCGAGGCCGACGAGATGAAGTTCTCCCACAGCCTGCAGTTCAATGCAGTGCCGGACTGGAGCAACCACTACATTGCCTACAGCAACCTCAAGAAGCAGTACGTGGCGCGTCCCGGCGGGAATGAGGAAGTATTAGTAAGATCGAGAGCTGACAGACTGTGTGTACAGAATATACAGCCTTGAGACGCAGCTCAACCAGAAGCAGGCGCATACCGATGCCGAATCCTCACCACTCCTCAACGGGGATGCCGACGATCCTGACAAGGTCTTCACGAATACCCTCGACACGGAACTAGAGCGCGTCACGTC